CTTTTTCTGAAGGGTCTCGACCCGAAACGTCAGCTTTCCTGCTCCTCTGATGCTGCTTAGCCTGCTGTCTTCATCCAGCTCTACACCTTGTTGTATCAGTGTCGAGCTAGAATGGGTTCGGTCTCAGCTGTGATACGTCCTCCTTAGTCTAGTAGCCCATTAATATTAACTATCCGAGTAGCTTGGTATGTGAAGCAAGACAGAGCGAGTGGAACATGGTGAACAAATCATTTGCTGAACAAGTGGTCAAGAAAAGAAGAGACCCATGGTAGACAAAGTTCCTTCAGAAGCCAAAACTTGTCATTTCCAGCAAGTAGATCTAGACAACTAATCGGTATTAATCGGTTTCAGATGGCAAACAATTGGAGAGCAACAAGTTTGAATTATACAGTAAACATAAGTAGCTGTAAGATTTCAGTAGTACAATACCTGCATATTTTGCCTATATTTCTTGAAGTTGTGTTGGCATACAAACTTCTTCTCCTGCATAAAGCGGCTGTACTGATTGTTGATTTGATCCAACAGATTTTGGTAATGGATAGTGGCCAGTGAATAATTTGTTATAGCCTTCTCCCTAGAATTACAAGAAAAGGACATGATTTGAAAATTGTATGCACCCATCAACCACACGGTTTCATTTTCTCCAGAAAACTTTGTCTCTTTTTGTCATGGATTATCCCTCATTTACAAACACAGGCAGACATGCAAACTTACACCTCTGCCGTTGTTGCCTCTTATGCTGTTTGTGAGCAGCTGGAAACTCTTTGTCCAGCATTTCAAGGCTGTGAACTCAGGAGCTCTTGTGGCACAGTGGTACCCAGGAGGCCTAGGTTCAAGTCCTTCCTGCTCCAATGGTGTATCATAATATTCCTGAACAGGTTAATAGAAAAGAAGATTGTGAACCTCCCTCAACTTTCGTGTCACTGCATTGCCCTTAACAGGTTCTGCAGGTAATTTGATTTATTGGAAACACAGGCGATTTAATGGTGGTGGATAACAGGTGAAAAGTACCTCAGATGATTTGCAGCGGAGGAAAAAAAAAGACAAAATATTCAGCTGTACATGAAAGCACTTCTGGATATAAAGAAAGAAAGAGATTGTAAACTGAACTGTGAACTTAGCAGCGAACCCATTCACAGCACAGATGATTGTGGGAGTTTGACAAGACTATGCTCAAGACCATTTCAGGAAAACAATAATTATAAAGATCATCGACTTGAGAATTTACATAAATCCACAATCCACAATGACTCTTACCAATTCTTATTGATGTACCACAGAAAGCATCCTATCTGTATGCATCACAGCTTGGTATGGCATCTGCTCTGCCCAAGACCACAAGAAATTAGAGGACTTATAAGCAGAAAATAGGGAGGGGGATAAGGTACGGAGTAAACAATAGGATAGAGCCCGAAGAGAGAGAAGAGCAGTTGGATAGACAAAGGAATTGATAACGATCTGGCTAGGAGGGTGAATAGTTGTTAATGGGGACTGTTAGTGACTAACAATAGGTAGTGTGTAATGGCAGGCTATGTGATAACAAGGCCTGCTGTGTGGGGTAAGGGGCTAGGACACGGGAGAGTTTAGGCCCTAAAATTATTAAACTCAATATTGAGTCCAGAGGGCTGCAGGGTCCCCAAGCAGAAAATGGGGTGTTGTTCTTCCAGCTTGCATTGGGCCTCGCTGGAACACTGCAGCAAGCCAGAGACAGATGTTGGCCAATGAACAGGGTGGTGTGTTAAAGTGGCACGCAAAAAGGTAGCTCAGGGTTTTTTTTTGCAAGCAGAACATAGATGTTCTGCGAAACAATCACCCAGTTTACGTTTCGTTTCCCCAAAGTAGAGGAGAATATAAGTGTGACATAATATTTGCTTCCCATAGATTTCTCCCGATGACAGGCTATACGGCGACTATACGCTCCAGCAACTGAATTTCGTATACACTGTCAACAACTGTAGCCTAGGACCACTCATCCTCATAGTTTCAATGTGTTTAAATTTTTTTTTTATAAAAAAATAAAAAGGAAGAATCTTCAGGCACAGACCAACACACACTAATGTCATCTAGTACCAATCCAGGCTCAAGCATGCCTTGTGCTATAAAACTGCAGGCAGATAATAATCAGAACATATCTGGATAACATCCTGCACATCTTGGTAACTTGCAATCCACTGTAAGATATGCATCAGCTATTGGCAGGGCACATGGTGTTGTGGCATACAGACTCAGTCATATTTTCCCATAGAGTTCCTCATTCCTGCCTTGCTTCAAAAGGCCTAGTGCCCAAAAGGAAAGGAGGACAAAAAGGTTGCATTCAGTCACCGGGAGAAAGTGAACTGTACACAAAAATGACAGACATACTTGGTTGTTGCTGATTTTGGGTTCAATATATTTTGGGGGCCAGTGTGGAACAGAAAATGACATGGAATCTGTACTTCGGATTTGGTCAGATATTCATCCCATAGCTCTCAGCTTCATCCCAATGTACTTTCTAGAGCACTATCTGGTATACATCAACTGTTGGATGTAATTGTTTTGGCTGAACTATTTGAACACAACACACACATCATTGATTTAACTAAACACGAATGAGCAAAGGATTCCTGTAGCATGCTGTACATTGTGCAAAAGGAGTCATGATCATTCTCAATCTTTGCAGCTGCATTTGAGTTAGTAGGGTCCTGACCTGAAACGTCAGCTTTCCTGCTCCTCTAATGCTGCCTGGCCTGCTGTGTTCCTCCAGCTCCTCACTGTGTTATCTGCATTTGAGTTTGTTTTGTCATTAGTTTCCAATTCAACTTCCAAATGTTTTCTTAACACTTCAGTCTACATAATCACTTCATCATACATGTCTGCTAAAGCTATGTTACCCTGTGACCAAACAAACATTGGAAAGTGGGCAAGAGTCCCAAAATTTATTTCCTTCATTTTAAAGCCCAGACCTGACAGACTAGCCAAGTCTGCTATCTTGAGGGAGCTAGCTGCATTTTACCACTTTGCCAATAACTAAACATCATGTTCTACAATGTAATTTATTAGAATTCAACAAGTTCATATCATTCTTTTTAGCCCGTTCAACCACAGCCTTCCAGAAGGTCTATCAGTTGTAGCTTTTCAATGCTGACTTAAACAGGCAGCAAAGTCAGTTTGTACAGTTCAGCCAGAACAGTACCTCTGAATGTGGCAAATCTGTAACACTGTATTTGAGCATCTGCCTACTTCTGAGCTCAAGCTTTAATATGGAAAACAAACCCCTCACACCACCCCCCCCATGTCTCAAGTCAAGAATGCAATCTAACAATTCAGTCACATTTAAAAACAAAATTTGCTCTCTTTTGGCAAATGTAACCTCTCCATGTCATCCATAGGTGGGAGCTCCTATTATGTGTGCCAGGAGATGGGTCAGGCAGATCTACACCAAAGATGCAGGAGAAAGAGAAAAGAGTAGTCATTCCTTCCCAGTCAAATTTATAAGTTTGTTTATTAATTAAGAGGCATGGAAGCAGGTACAGGTGAAGCATATAACACAGGAAAAGCATTCTAATGTTCTCTTAAATAGAAATTTGTTTCTTCTTTTCTGATTTAACATACCAGTCTTGAGCTTCAATCCAATGAGCAAGATATTCCCGAACATCCATAGGAAAGGTTTCATTCTGGTACAGATCATCCACGCGCTCCAAGTACTTTGTGTCAAGTTGTTTTAGGGCTTCCCACTGACTCATACTGTTGGAGAAAAAAAAATCTGTATCAACTAAGAATCAACTTTACTGAATTAAATACACTGAGAACTTGGCAGCACGATCACAAAAACCTTCTTTTCGCTGAGAACCTTTCTTCTTGGCTCGATCAGGACAAGTGACATTTTGTGCTGAGGAACAATAATATCTAAAGTTAACAGTGAGCATCCTTAAATAAGGTACAGCACAAGTTTGATATAAGCAAAGCTACTTCTCCACTGCTACAATGTGCCGTCATCCTGACCTCAAGAGTGCTCTTCTATTGCATTTGTGTTGCAATTTTATTTCCTCACACCAATCCTGATTCTGGGCTGTGTGTTTGACTCCCGCAAACTAATGGAGTCCATATTTAATCAGTTTGGGGCTACCCCAACACCATTTTCACATGGGATATTTTCATAATTCCATCTATTAGTCTGTAGTGGATCAAATCCAAATCTTAGAAATAAACAAAAATTTGCATGTAACTCAACAAGCCACCAGGGAAAAAAAAAACTGTAACCCTTCCCTCCAATTTTCACAGGCTTAAAACCAATTACATGTCTAATGTTTCCTAGCTCTGATGAAAGGTCATTGATCTGAAACGCTCACTGTTCCTCTCTCCATAGATGCTGCCTGACATTCTGAATACTGACTTTTTTGGTGTTTGTTGCATGAAGGGACAAGTTTGGGCAAACTCAGTACCTGGTACCACCCACTTAGAAAACTAAAGTCGCAGCGATTGTGGTAGTCTCCTTTTTTTTTTTAGGTGAAGGAAAATCAAATAAAAAACTTTTCTGATTGCATCTCGGCCTATATTCACACCATGATCTTGAATGGTCAGTGACTCAGCCAAAGTTAAAGTCAGTCAGGGCCCTACATTCCTCAATGACACTTATAGGTAAATGCATACATGGCATCAGGCATCGTGGCATCGCATAGCTACTTTAATGTTCTGGCAGCTGCCAGCACCTATAGAATTGTATCTCAACACATTCAAGGGAATGTAAAAATTAGGCATTAAACAGATGCCAACCCTTTAGAGGAATGCACTGATTCCTCTAAAGGGTTGGCATCCGTTTAATCCCTAATTAGAACCCTCACTGATTTCTAATTTTTTTATATATAAATTTTAGCTTGGAGTTGAGAGCTAAAAGGTGACCTGCATGTTTGTTTTGTCTTTTAAAAAAAAACACTTTCAAATCTTCATGCTGTAGTATCAACAGCCAAATCTCTTCTCTCAGAAGCCCCCAATTTGATCATGAACCAACCTGCAATTTACTTCCAGGCCTAGCCTCACAAACCATCAGAGGATCCTAGAGCCTTCAACTCCAGGGAAAGCAATAGGTTCAACCAGATGGGCAGAGGTTTGGTCATTAACAAGGTCAGTACCTCGGAAATTGATGCAATGAGTTTGAAAAGGAACACGATAGTTAAACAGAGGGACGGGCCAGAAGTTTTGAACTGTTTTAAACTGGGGATTTCTAAGGAAGAGGAGTCTGGCCATTGATGCTACAGCATGAAGATTTGGAAGCGGTGTTCATCCAGCTCTACACCTGGTTATCTATTGAAGATTTGGAAGCTCCCTGCCTAAACTACCATTATCAGTTTCTATTCTCTGAACTTCCAATAGTTAAGTTATAAGCATTATCAAATTGACCTCAGTAAACTGAAAAGGTAGCCCTGATCAACACCTTCAGAAAATCAACCAAAAACCAATTATATAGGTCTGTGGGAAAATGCATTTGTTAAAATTGCTTCAGTAATCAGGACAGTTTTGTTATTTTCTAAATTTATCCCTTAATTGTGTGTTTGTCTGTCTGTTTTTGTTTTCAACCCTATTTTTACAAAAAGGTTATTGGATTTTACTCAGACATTAGTTAGATTATTGTTAAATTTTGCTTTGTTAAAGTTACTATGTTATCAATACGTCAAGTCTTTTGTTTAAGCTACAAACAGAGAGTGTCTGGAATCACACACAAAGTCCAGGATTAGTTATTCAAAAAGTCTGGTTAGGAACCATTATGGTTAATTTTGAGGGTTGAAGGTTTTAATTCTACTACATTGCAAATACAGAGTAGGGAGGCTGATTTGATTCTGCTGTTAGTCTCAATGTCATAACACAAGCCACAGGATCATTCTGCATAAACACTTAAACTTTATCTTCCAGCAGTAGACTCAATCTTTTGAACCTTATTGCCAAGCACCTGTTCATTACTTCCCAATCCTGAACCCTCACTGAGAGATAAAGGTAGGGAGAAGGGCAATGAGGCAGGAGCAGCTTTGAACGTCATTTTAAAAAAATAACATCCTACAAAATGTTCCAACACATGTAAACCACCAGCTCTTGCACTTCCGTAAGTTGCAGCTTCAGACTGAATTTGGATCTTGACAGAAACACAAGTCCATTAGAGGGAAGTGGCCTATGGGCGAGTCGAGGAGCAGGGAAAGAGGACGCAACCCAGAGGTCAGGAAGCAAGGAAAGAGGAATGAGGTTATGGAAAACATTGTTAAAACAAATCTCAATGCTAAATGAGATTACAAACCCAATCAATTTATTGGCATTTAAGCAAAACAATATTAAAATGGGTAAATTTTAAAATGAGATCTTGCTGTACTAACTGGTTTTGCTTATAACTTCCTTCAGCCAAAACCAGATAGTTGCACAATTATTAACAAAAGCTCATAAGGTGGGTTCAAGTCAAGTTAAATGTTCTGGATGAACAAAGAGCCAACAGACAACTTTCAGACCTAGAAGTGAACAAGACAGCTCAGTTCTGCAGGGAATCAATGGTAAAATACTGAAAGTGCAAGAAATATAATCATAGCAAAATTACAGCACAGAAAGGAGGCCATTCAGTCCATTGTGTCTGTGCCAGCTAAATGTTCATTCTAATCCAGTATCTGATCTGTAGTCTTGCTGGTTCAGGAGGGTACCTTATAAATGAGTCGAGGGTTCCTGTCTCCACCAAACAGGGCAGCGAATTCCAGACACCCTATACTCTCTGGGTGAAAATGTTTTTCTCATGTCTCCTCTAGTGCTTCTCCCAATCACTTTAAATCTGTGATAACAAGGTATAGAGCTGGATGAACGCAGCAGGCCAGGCAGCATCAGAGGAGCAGGAAAGCTAACGTTTCGGGTCTGGACCCTTCTTTAGAAATGGGGGAGGGGAAGGGGGCTCTGAAATAAATAGAGAGGGGGAAGTGGTGATAGAAGGTGGATGAAGGAGAAGATGGGTGGAGAGAAGATGGATAGGTCAAGGAGGCAGGGATGGAGCCAGTAAAGGTGAGTGTAGGTAGGGAGTTGGGATGGGGGTTGATCAATTGAGGGAAGACGGACAGGTCTAGGAGGCGGGGATGAGGCTGGGGGTTGGTCAGTGAGGTGGGAGGAAAGACGGACAGGTCAAGGAGGCAGGGACAAGCTGGGTTGGTCTTGGGGTGAGGTCGGGGGTGGGGAGATTTTGAAGCTTGTCAAGTCAAGATTGAGATCATTGGGCTGCAGGGTTCCCAAGCGAAATATGAGGTACTGTTCCTGCAGCCTTCAGGTGGCATTGTTGTGGCACTGGAGGAGGCCCAGGATGGACATGTCATCCAAGGAGTGGGAGGGGGAGTTGAAGTGGTTCGCGACTGGGAGGTGCAGTCGTTTGTCACGAACCGAGCATAGGTTCCACAAAGCGGTCTCCAAGCCTCACCTTGGTTTCCCCAATGTAGAGGAGGCCTACAAACTGCATGTATCCTACCAAGAGGCAGGCATAGCTTGGGCCCATGTGGGTACTCATGGCCACCCCCTTTGTCTGTAGGAAGTGGGAGGAGATGAAAGAGAAGTTGTTAAGGGTGAGGACGAGTTCAGCTAAGCGGATGAGGGCATCGGTGGAGAGGGACTGGTCGGACCTGTGGGAGGGGAAGAAGCGGGTGGCCATGGGTACCCACATGGGCCCCAAGCTATGCCTGCCTCTTAGTAGGCTACGTGGAACAGTCCCTCTTCCGTAGCTACAGTAGCCCCATCCCCCATCTCTTTCTCCGTTATATCGATGACTGTATCGGCGCCACCTCGTGCTCCCACGAGGAGCTCGAACAGTTCATCCACTTCACTAACACCTTCCACCCCAACGTTAAGTTCACCTGGACCATTTCCAATACCTCTCTCCTTCCTGGACCTCTGTTTCCATCTCTGGCAACCACCTGGAAACTGATATCCATTTCAAACCTACCAACTCCCACAGCTACCTAGAATACACCTCCTCTCACCCACCTTCCTGCAAGAAGGCCATCCCCTATTCCCAATTCCTTCGCCTCCGCCACATCTGCTCCCGAGATGAGGCATTCCACTCCCAGACGTCCTTGTTTTTCAAGGACCGCAATTTCCCCTCCAGTGGTCGAAAACACCCTCGACCACATCTCTCGCAGTTCCCGCAACTCATCCCTCACATCCCCTCCCCACAATAACAACAAAGACAGAATCCCCCTCGTCCTCACGTACCACTCCAAAAACCTCCGGATTCAACACATCATCCTCCGCCACCCGCC